TATTATTATTATTATTATTATTATTATTATTATTATATGCCCTGTCGTGGGTTGGCACCCATGCTGGGTTGCTTCCTGCCTTGTGCCCATAGGTTCTGGACCCCCCACAACCCTGAGTAGGACAACTGGTTTCAGAAAATGGATTATTATTATTATTAGTAGTAGTAGTAGTAGTAGTAGTATTGTTGTTGTTGTTGTTGTAGTAGTAGTAGTATTGTTGTTGCTGTAGCTAATATAATTATAATAATAATGGTAATATTCCAGCCAACCTTCTTCCCTATCTGCTTATCCAGTACAGGATGGCAGCGAGCTGGGATTTCTCATATATCACTCCCTCCTTGCCCTACTGCACTGCTAGATGTATCTGTGTTCCAAATATATACCGACAGGGCGTGGATCAAAGGGCAAAAAGACATCGACAGGAATCAGGAGCACATGGGCTGTGAGGCACCATCAAGTCAGAGCAGAATATAACTGTGTCAAATGCTTCTCTTGCACTGGGTATGACTCCTGCCTTTAATGTCTGCGACTTTATGAGCAATAATTTGACAGCAAAAAGTACATAACATACATAAGATACATAACACTGTGAAATACTTCAGTAACAGTAACAGTAACACATGTTACTCAGTGAAAACCAATCAGAAACACCCCAGCTAGGACATGGACATTACTCACCATTATTACAGACAATAGTGCCTAGTGCATGTAAATATATACTAATTTTAATAGTGAAATACTACGAATAACCAACAATAAAATCTGAAGGGCAAAATTCAACTGGTATCATGTACATTCATTACTGACACACTGCAGGTTTGACATCATAATCCACTCCTGTAATGATACTTTCATGACAGTTTTGTATTGACACTTTGAAGTATTGATATAGCAGGTCCATAATCAAGCTCAGCAGTGACATATTGAAGCATACACATTCTCCCAGAGCCATAACAGCCCTGAACCTCAACATGCACTGACCACCTCTCTGTGTGTGTGTGTGTCTCAAACGATTTAATATTTGTTCTTCATAGTATTTAAAGGGGTAGCTGCTCTGCGATTTTATTATACATGTTATAATGATAATAAAGGCTTTCTAATCCTAATTATAAGATAGTACTGTCACATCTTGAGAAAAGAAGGTGCAGAGCAGGTGTCCAGTGAACAAAAACACTGTATTAGACTAATACAAGAGAAGGGAAAGAAACGGGACTGCGAGTGGTCAAAAAAGGGAAGGTTAGGACTGGGGAGAGCACAGGCAATGGGAGGACTGACATTAATGGCCAGACTGGCGACGACGAGACAAACAGGAACTTATATACAAAGACTAACGAGGCGCGACTCATCAGGGCCACGTGAGGGAGGAGACAGGAGAATCGGGCGGGCGGGACGTAAGAAGTATCATCACTTGATCATAGTCAAGTTTAGAAGGAAATTTAGGAGGACATTGTTCTGCCCATAGCAAGGTGCTTTCAAGCATATGAACTACTAAAGATGGAGGACAAAGGCAGCCGGTGCAAGTTAATTAAAATGAGTTGCAGTCAGTTACTTGTGAGAAGCGGCGCCCATGTGTCAGGAATCCTCAAGCAGATAGGAGGTGGAGAGGAGCTGGTTTCGCTGATCTAAATGCAACTCTGCCATTCAAACAAAGCAGCTTCAGCAGAGAAACGTCATCCTGCCTCCTGGAGTCTTTTCAGCTCCACATCCGCACGTTATCTCCTGCACGGGCTTCCTCCCAGACTCTCAGACAAAACCCAACCCTGGTGGTACCATCAAAACCGTCAAGATAAAGCAGAGAGTGCAGGGGCGCCTGGCTACGTTTCTTTGGCAAAACACAGAGCTTTGTACAACCAGCCAAAATCCACAGGACCACGGTGGGCCTATAACCTAATTTGACAGCAACCAGATAAGCTTGTTTCCAAGCACATTACCCACAAACCTAACTTAATGTATATTATACTTTCTCACTGGGAAAAAACAAACAAAAAAACATCATTACGAAGGCATGTGTCCATTATCAGCTAAAAATGAGCTTATCGCTAAACGCTTTGAAGCATAATGAAAACAGAACTATTAAGAGTAAAAAGGTGCACGCCCTACCTTCGTGAAGATGTGCTGTATGATGACAGCGGCAGCCAGAAAGCGTCGATCACTGGCGATTAGCTGATCTTCTCGCCTGTGGCCGACATCCTGGCTCTGGTCCTTGTGCTGGTTACTTTCCCTGTTGACCAGGTCGCAAGGACTGCTGTTTTGGGGATCCTTGTTGCAGGAGCTGGCTCTCAACTTCCCCCGGTCCACTGAAAGGGAACAAGCATGCAACATGGAGACCACATTCAGCATTCTGCTCCCCCCCCCCCCCCCCCCCCCCCCCTGCACTGGACCACTGGGGCACCTGCAGTGATTCTGGGCCCCAAGTTGTAGCTGAGCTATGCTGCTGGTCCCACACGCACGCTAGCTCATACGCTAATGCGGCTAAGCTACGCAGTTGTCGGAGCCCGTAGCATGAGCAGCGAGAAGCATTATCTAGAACCCACTATGGAGCATTAGTATGAGTCACAGAGCAATTACAAGCCATCAGGCAGCTTCTCTTCCCCGGCACAAAATGGAGCCGTGTATGAGATTACACCCACCTCCAGACCCTCGTCCCTGTGGACATGGCTGTCAGTGCATTCCACTTTTAGCAGAGCCGGGGCAGGTTTGATTTACAGCAGCTTTATAAATACGCAGAGAGGCCATGATACAGGAACTAATGTACTAATAAGCTCCACCAACAGAGAAGGACTGGAGACACACATTGGTTTACCTGGGGTGGCGGTGGCGGGGGGGAGGGTACCAGGACTGGGAAATCAGCTTCAGATGGGAGGGCTAACAGAAATAGGGGACTTAGCAGATAAGAGGAGGCAGAAACATGCCCCTTTTCAGCCACAGACCGGGTGCCATTCGGTCCAGGATAATTAAAGAGGAAATTTTCCAAATCTCTTTTTTCACTGGTTTTCAGATGAGACCACTAATGACCTAAAATCGGGCTTCCACATCATATGTTACAGTACTGGGAACCAAAGCTCACCCAGTCCTTGTGTCACCCAATAAAGAATGTCCAGAATTCACTAATTAAGTCCACTGAAATTTCCTCAAAACATATACTGTTTACTAAGTGACTTGTGAAAGTTTTCTCTTTAATTGAGATGAACTATAGCCGAATATTAGTAAATAGCAAATATATATACATCATTGAGAAGGTGCGGATAGCATGTATCAAAGCAAAAATTGTAAGCAAAGGAAGTTAAAAAGTTTCCTACATGGCAATACATCCAATACAGGAGCTTAAGTCTCACTTTCAAGAGCTGGAAAATATACAGCGAGTTTCCGTGCTGCACAGAGGTCATTCACTGTGAGGGCTACATGATTTGAAAATTAATGCTGTTCTGCAAAGCCCATATCCCTGATTCATGAAAAAGGCAAATGGAAAAGGGGTTAAGTCTGGAAAGGAACTGGCACCTGGCCTGTTCCCCTCTACACCACAGAGCTGCTTGCTAAGCCTAAAAGGGATTATGGGTAAAGAGTGAGGAGCCAGCAGTAGGAGGAGCATCTAGCAGGACCAAAAACATCAGAGGCATGAAACTGACACATTTGAATATTAAACATAAGCTGGAGTAGTAAGGCTTGCAAAATCCTTTAAGTGGATTTAAAAACCATCACAATAATGATATTTTATAACAATATGCACTCATAGGAAATTCCAGAACACTATCCCCCCAGAACACTTCAAAGAATGGAATCTTTCTATGATCTATTTCAAGTTAAAATCTAGAGGTTATGATTTCAGCCAGCATCAATGTTTTAATTGCAGTCTAACTTAAAATATATATTAAATGCAAGAACATGTCTGAAAATGATCAGAGAAAGAAAATCTTCCTTTCTTTCAAAATTTTTGCACTCAGTGGATACCAACCCCAGAGAAACAACAGCATTAGGCTCATCATGTAATGTAATGATCTTTGAGGAAGACATTAACCAGCAGCATTCTGGGAACCATTTGATTATTTAGCCACAAGCCAATAAGCATTAGGTGGAGAAAAAAAAACAGCATCAGACCTCATGTGCATTAAAGGGGATTTTCAGTGTGTTACTCATATTTTATTTAATGTAAAATAAGCTGTCAAGCTGAATGCCTGAAATGTTACAGTACTGGAAGTATGACTTTAAAATATGATATTCTACATCATACGGAATAGCATACCCTAGCAACTAACAGCCTTGGGGAAAGGCCACATGCATTCTTCAAGTGAACTGTTGACTCAGAATTTAATAGAATGAAATAGAAGGAATATATGCATTGAGTTGAGCCAATGTTTGTATGAGGACCTTAATATAAACAGAGACTATTGGCTGTGATGTATGAAGGGAGCCTAAGTTTGGAAGAGGATATTTTTGGCTCTGCTTCAAAGTATACAGTGTCTCCATGCCTGTCCATTGCAAAATTCCTAGAGCCATCAGCTTGGCTTACATTACAGTGCATTTTCAGCACATGAATCTTGTTTTGTTTATTTGTCTTACAATTTACTGATTAAAGTCAGAAATACAGATTATGTTAACGGGGTCAAATTTCTTTTAAAATTCATATTTTGTGTAATGTTTATTCAATCAAACTAAAATAATTATATACATACATATATATATCGATGGTATAGTAGTAATACTTCAGGGCAAAGGTTATTTTGTCAGAAAGTATATTATCCATCCAACCATTTTATGCACTCACACACCATTCACTCACACACCATTCACTCACACACCAGTCACTCACACACCAGTCACTCACCCACCATTCACTCACCCACAATTCACTCACACACCCATCACACACAAATGCACACCTATGGGCAATTTGGTAACTCCTATTCAATAATTATATTATATTATTCAAATAACTATATAATTATAATCAGGGGCGTTGCTAGAGATTTTGGGCCCCATGAAAGCATATCATATTAGGCCCCCCAGTCCAAACCAATCCAGTTATTTTCCTAATTTTTTAGGGCCCCTGTCACTCAGGGGCCCTTGGAATCGTCCTAGCTTTCCTCCCCCTTACGGCGCCCCTGATTATAATTATTATTATTATTATGCTTCCCCCTACAGATCAAAATATTATAATAATTATTATTAATATTGTTGTTGTTGATGTATATTTTAAACATATTTCTAAAGCGAGAAGTGTAAAGTTTTAACTACATCCGATAGTTTTCTCTGGCTCCCTCTGCTGACGAGATCAGGGCTCGCATTTTATTAGTCTTATACAACATGGAAGCCCAGTTCATGCAACTGGTCAAAACATCAAAAAGTTATAGATGCTCAACACCAAGCGGTGTTCTAATATAAGAAGTTCTATTATGTGTGTTATAAATGTAAGAAATGCATATTTTTTACGAATTAAAACCACTGACCATGGGCACCTGTCCAATACAGAGTCTTTCAAGGATGTCTACAATGTGAGGATCACTCTGCACAGGATGTCAGTCCACCGCAGAGTACACACACACACACACACACATACACACGCACACACACACACACACACACACACCATGTGTAGGGTTACTGCACTTCCCCGACTGCATGTCCATTAACAGAAAAACTGAAAAATTATTCAGGGGTGACTCTGTCAAACTCTGCTGCAGAGTCGTACGGCAGGTCATTCACACATTTACACATTATTAGACACACTTACAATGCCACTTTGTACATTTGATGCTATAAAAATGGGTAAAAAGCATCATTTAGTTCAGTGACATTAAACCCTGCTAATGACACTACTCTGTAAATGCTGGGTTTTATTCATGTTGATCTCTTGGCATTCACTCTGGGTATCAATAAAGTTTAACTATCTATCTAGCTTGACTACCCTGGGCTCTAACTTCAGCTATAAGCCAAATTAACTGTATAATGTTGAAATTACCCCATACTGGTTGTGACCCATTCACAGGGAAAAGCAACTTTCTTTTGATTAATCGTGGCGACTAATTTTTATGTGGACACCTGCTACAATTACCTTAGCAAACTACATATGGTTAAAATGTGGTTTTAGAGGAATTCTCCTATAAATCTCCGCTCAGTTCCAAAAGCCTTTCTGGATTTGACAAAGCGGGTTTAATGTGCAGGTGTTCAGCGGGTTTAATGTGCAGGTGTTCAGCAGGCTTTATGTGCAGGTGCGTTCCACACTGTGCTGCTCGCAGGAATCAGGCTGACTTATTTTTGCGATGAAGAAACAAACATGCCCAGATGGCACAGGCTGATGGCGCTGCCAGGACAGCCTACCGAGGCCGTCATCACAATGGGGCTCGTCATTCAGCCGGGGTCAGTATGGATTATCCATCACAATGGGGCTCGTCATCCAGCCTGGCATTCCGCAGACGGCCCAGCACAATGGGGTTTGTCTGTAGGGCCCCACTGGAGATGGTAAGTGATTCTTTAGGTGTGAAATCATCCGAAGTGACATTTCCGAGACTCGCGATAACCCCTGCGATTTCCTCCGCACGCCCACACGCAGGCAGATTAGAATGCTGAGGCATATGCATGCATTGACACGTGTGCATACCAAAGCAGGCATCTCTCATAGCTGTTCATCTAGCACAGGGTGGCAGTGATATACAAAGCGACACATACTGTAAGTCGACTGCGGGTTCAGAAAAACACATCCACTCACACACAAGGGAGACACCTGCTGAATAACCGTTACTAATTATAAATTCATTTACTTTAGTGTAACGTATTTACTCAAATCCCAGTTTTTATGAATGGAACTGACTGAGTACTACTGCACAGACACAGACAAGTTTGTGTTTGCCTTCCATTCTAGGACACTTTTGATACGTCAGTATTTATTTGCTGGTTTTCTGCTTCATAAATTTTATCGACCTGATTCACTATAAAAATTTTATCAAGAGCTGATGTGAAATCCATTCGGTTTGGATTATACACCTTCTATTACTTTTGAAGCAGATTAATATGAAATTCTTGTGGGTTTTTAAGGGTGATTGAAATTAGATAATTTCATAAGCTTTTCATCTTATTCACTCCTGGAGGTTTTTAAAATAAAATTAGCTTCTAGATGGCTGCGGATTATTACTGGTAATTAACCATTTCCAGTGACTGTTTCCTAAAAGCCATCAAAATCATAAAAACTAACAATTTGTAAAGCCGATACATTTCGCTTTCCAAAGACCTCAAGGGTCCCCAGGATTTGCATGCATATTTTCTACATTGTGCTCCAGAAAGTGTTCGGGCTCTGCCGTCTGGTGGAATGTCCCTGCAGGGTTGGTGCCATGCTGGCTGATATAAAATTTTAAATGAGCTTGTAAAAAATTCAAGCTTCCAGACAGCGAATAGATCCACAGAATGTGGGAATTTTGGAAGACGGAATGCTGGAATCTTGGCCCCTGTAGTATATACAGTATATGTAATGAGTGGGGAAAAGAGACACTTTTCTCTCCAACCAAAAGCAAACAAACTGGACACCCCATAGAAATCTTGTTTTCAGAACCTACTTTACACAATTGTTAATTAATCAGAGGGGCTTCTCCCCAACTAAATCCCTCCCATGTCTTACAGAGCAAAACATGTTTTGTGCGTATTTTATTCTATTTTGCAAACCATTCCATCAAACCATCACCCACAAACTTCATCTATGAACAACTCTAGATAAAAAAAAAACTATGTAAATGACACCCACAATAAAAGGATTTCTTTGAAAACCTCACAACATTAAATACAGCAAAAATATACAATACAGAGATCCGAAGCGGAATATGGGTTTTCTGCCCCTTTAAATTATTCAGAATTCATATGAATTGTCTCTATGGAGCCGTTGAATAATTCAAACAGCTCCGAGAGGGATGAACGGATTGCTTGTCTGCTCAGATAAGGATGCAGAACATGACCAACGAGCAGACTGGAAAGACTTCTTTTTGACACACAATTTCCACACTAAATGTTGACCTAAATGCATGTATAGCCATTATACAATGACACCTGCATTCCAGCATTCCAGGCCAGCACAGAGGATCAGTAATGCGCTAATAGACACACACACACAAAAATTATGTCTAATATATATAAAACCTGAAAAGTTCCTTCTTTATTTCATAGCTTGCTATGATTTTTTATTAGTCATTCAAATCAAATTAATCAAAATGAACCCAACAGTTAATTCAGTTGTGCTATACTGTTACATTCTGACTGTATACTGTCATGTAAACATGGAAACATACTTTCATAAATGTTTGTAATGAAACAGTGAGCGAACGTTTAATGCTCAGGTAATGTATAATGTGTACGCAGATATGGGAGTGGGTAGCCAAAGACTGAATCCTTAAGTAACCTACATTTCCTGCTTTAAGTGCATATGTAACCAGGCTGCCAAATTTAGAAGCATAGAACATACCATCACCATGGACCATGAAAGGTGAGGAAGACACTCCAAAGAAGGATAAAAAGCCTCATATAATCATCCCAGTTTTGATATACACACAGCTTGTATTGTGTTCCTAGCTGTTTTCCATACCTTTTACTGAAAATATTAAATCAGGACTTTGGTGAAGAGGAAGCACCTGAAGTATGGGGCGGAACATTACACCGACAGACACAGACAGACAGAGAGACGCGCGCACATATCTGAAACATGGAAAGACACCGTGCTGGTCACACGCATGTACACGCGCATGCAAACATACAGCACATGCACGTAAATACACAGACACGCCTGGGTCACAAAATGACAGCTGATCATGTAAACATGCACACGCAAACACATATCCAAACACACACACATGCACACACGCCAATAGCACGCAGCACGGCAGCCCTGGACAGACAAATATAAAGATGCTGACACGCAGAGACACGACAGCGCCGATCGCACCTGTGTGGAACACCATGGTGCTCCTGCGGTAGCCCGAGAGCAGCTGCAGCTTCCGGAGGAGCCCCGTGGCCGTCAGCTTCACGTGGATGTTGGAAAGCGAGCGCTTCGGGGACCAAAGCATTTTTCTCACGCGCCGGAGCTCAAGCTTTCACGCAGAGGAGCAGGACGAGGGCGAGCTGCCGCCGCACATGAGAGTGGGTGAGAGGAAAAACAGCGGTAGCAGTCACAGGGAAAACGGCAGCCACTCCCACTCGCTCAGGTCACCATAGCGACGCCCCCCCCCTCCCTGCATCACACCACGGAGGCAGGCTAAATCTGAATCCAGCCGGATCAGTGAGACCCAGCACAGCAGCAGTGCCGTGATCCGCAGAGCTGAGGACACTGGGAGCTGGGGAAGGGGGCGGGGACATGGAAAAGGAGTGAGAAACATACAAAAAGACTTTGTTGGATTTTAATGCGGTGCCACACGCAGCCCAGCGTGACCTCCAGCCTACGGATCCTGTCCTCTGCGGGAGAGGCTCTGAAAAGGCTGGATGGATGGATGAAAAAAATCCCAGGCGAGTTAGGTGTGATGAAGCAGAGCCTGCGTGAAATGAGTCCCGCTACTGAGGACAGGGATGAGGTGTGTCAGCAATGAGGAGCATGGAGGTAGTGGGGAGAGAAGGGGGGAGTTTTACAAAAGGAGGGGGTGGGAGGAGAGGTGTTTGATAAAGAGAGAGGTGTGTAAAGGGAAAGGAGCATGAAGGGAGGTGGGTTACAAATGGAGAGGTAGAAAGAGAAGAGGTGCATGAAGGGCATTCAAAGAAAGGCATATAAAGGACATATAAAGGGCATATAAAGAGTAAAATACATGGGCTATTCCATGCATTCCAGTCGAAAGGCACAAACAGAAAATGTTATTGCAAAATAATACTTGCCAGGGCAATTTCAAAGGAGCTGCAAACAGCCATTCAAATGCTAATCGAATCCCATCCTCCACCAGCACTTACAGATCACAGCTCGCACGTTTCCAGGCAACAGGGATTCTTTAAGTTCTACATCGTGACGGAGGAGTGCATACAGAAGACCGGTTCTGTGTTTGTCATCAGCAATGTGTCTAAGTGTTATTATCACGCCAGAGAAAATGCACACGAATACAGAGAACCTGCAAACGCCACACACTGAGGTGTCCGCAGTGTCACGTGTTGAGAAAAATCTAGTTGATCTCCTTAATATTTTGCCTCTCCAGCTCGAAACAACCAGCAAATCCCTTGAGTTCTTCCCTATGTAGCCCCTTGGCCAAGCTGTCATACTGATTATTGGATCCTGCAAATGCTGATCCACCGTGTCAGTCAGCTAACTAAGCTTCAGTCTTTGGAGTTTCAAATTTTTAACAGTAAAAACAATAGAGATTTAAAAAACACATATTTCCCCTGATTCCAACAAATATCTGAAATTGTTGGGGCTTCACAATGTAACTTACAGTGAAAATGGAGGATCAAGCCTTGGAACCTAGGGATTTATTTTCCAAACATAGTCCAAGAAATCACAGTCCAACCACAAGCGATATTTCATAAGGCAGATATGGAGAAAATCAAATCCCAATCATAAATTAATATATTTAGTCACAAACACAGGAAGAAATTTTTGAAGTAGTTGACACAATATGGAGAAAATTCCAAAATTTCATCACCAAATGCCCAAGACTGCCTACCAGCGAGTGACCACTCATGCGTGGGACAGGATGATCTGGATCTGAAGACTGGGTGAATTCTTTAACGAGCAAAGGGTCCAGGATGTCATGAGCGGAAACCCATGACTGGTCCACAGACCACAGCCCTCAGTCCACAAAGAATTGTAGACAACCCCTGAGGTGTCTATAGCTCAATGTGAACAGTGGATTCAAGATGCTGTAGTGCACAAGGAGATGTGGGAAGTAGGAGAGATCTGATATCTGAGGGATTATTTTAAGCAACAGATGACTGGATAAATGTGTCTGACATCGTAATAAGAACAAATATACTGGATACCAAGCTTTTTGGAAGGCAAATGAAGTTGGATGAGTTAAGTAGAAAGTCTATCTGGGATTAGATAGGGTAGTGGGGCAATGGTTGTGGTCCACAAATCCTTTCTCTGTCTTTAAAGCCGTCCAAAGTTGGACAGGGACCTTCTCCCACTCAATCCGAACCACGTGTCCTCAGTTGGGATGTTTATGACGGGCGAGTAACCCTTGGGGGAGTGAATTTTTCTGTGAATTCAGTCCAAGAGAGGTTTTCCCTAATATCGTTTAAAAAAAGCATCCATTTTCTTGATTCAACCTCCCACTCTATGCATTGGTATGGAGAGTACTCCCAGGTGTGTACAGAACACTCGCCATTCACAAGATATAAGCTGAGGTCTTCTGTCTAATCAAAGCAATCCCAAACAACCTAACACTTGGATAAATAGATATTCTGAAAGCTGCATAGCATTAGATAGGCCCTAGAGAGGTATCAGACAGCACATTTTGGAGAATCAATGCACTGTAAAAGGGATAGTGGTGTATTCATTACTGGGGGGGGGGGGGGTGGTAGTAAAATCCAATGATATTTCCTCATGGCCTCTGAGGAATCTGGAAGAGTTTGAGTAAAGATAATGAGATTTAAGACTTGGCAAAGATGAGACAGGAGTGACAGGAAGTCATTGACACTGTCAGAATGGGATGGCTACCAGAATTTGCGGGTTAGCAGTTTTGTTTTGTCAGGATGTCCAGCACTCAGAGTAGAGTGTGTGTAAAGTGCAGGAGCTGGGAATGAATGCTGGCTAGAATGTGGTGTCTTGGCGGAGTAAAACGCATCTGTGATCTCCCGTCTGATGGGTGCCACCACACAGGCAGAAGGGGTCAGTTTATGGGGGCGGGGGTTATGTTACCAAACAGCAGGGCTGGCGACGGGCTGGGGTGGCCGGGTCAGTTGTCCCCGTGCCCTGGGTCGAGGGCCCAAACGGGCGCTCTAACCTTTAAGTAATCTGCTGGAATAATTTGTCAAAAATACATATTTATGAAAACATTATATAGTATTTGTGAACCACATAAAAGCCTGTTATTGTTACTCTTTCAAATATTCCTTGACCTAGTGGTTGAAAGCAATTTTACTTTCCCTCCCCATAAGCAAAAAATGGTTTAGTCTGTGTCGCCTTGGTAAAGTCAAAAGTGTAGCATTTAGCTAGCCCCTCCCCCCTCCAGTCAAGTCATCAAAAGTCAGAAAAGGGGAGAAAAACAAAAAGGAGACAATGAAGACAGAGGTGACTGAAAAAATCAATGGTGGGTTATTAATATTAATAAATAGATTGGTTTATAATGTATGCAATATTTCTGTATAGGCTTATGTCTGGACTGTTTAAGGTCCTGATACTAATTTTTCCCATATGAGTCCGACATAGAGATAATTAAATAGCAAGTTTGTTATAAATTATCAAATAAACAACTTCACAGCAATAATTTGGGAATGACAGCATGTCTCTGTGACTGAATTTTGGCGGAGGGGCTACCATTTTGGCTAGCCTGTATTTTGATGAAGTAGCGCATGCTGAGGGCTCTGGATGTGACAGCCTGTCAGTGACCTGTGCTCGGAGATCATCTTGTCCCAGGGCACGAGAAAGACAGACAGTGGGCCTATCAAAAAGTAAAGAGCAAAAAGTTTAGCCACTTGATTTTTCAGATATATCCCAAGTTCAGATATTTTATTTGCAACTATCCAGTCTCACCCAATAACACACCGCAGAAAAGACATTGACAATTTATGAAACTTGTACATCTTAGCTTTAGTGTAGAGGTCTCTGATGGACTTAGTTTGCTTAACTCTTGAGGGTCAAGAGGAGGAGTAGATGAGTCATTAATATATACAATAAATATAATAAGACATTTGTTCATCGTGACTCTGAAGATCTCGTCAATAAAATACTGGAACATAGTGGGGGTGTTTGCAAGTCCATATGGCATAATATGACATTTGTAGTTCCCCCTGGATGTGATGAGAACTCTCTTCCATTCATCCCCCTCACAAATTCTGATGAGGTTATAATCTCTTCAAAGCTCTAACTTTTTAAAGATGGCTACAGTGTTGATGTCTTTCAGTGTTGGATGAATCAGGAGAAGAGAGCGGCAGACCTAATGGTGATGTCACTTAGAGCTTAGTTGTTGATAAAGGGCTGCCATCCTTCTTTTTCACAAAGAAGAAACTTGAAGCAACTTGAGAAATAGATGGTAACCATCCATCCATCCATCCATTATCTGCCGCTTGTCCGGGGTTCGGGTCGCGGGGGTAGCAGCTACAGGAGAGATACCCAGACCTCTCTCTCCCCAGCTACCTCTACCAGCTCCTCGGGGAGGACGCCGAAGCGTCCCCAGGCCAGTCGAGAGATATAATCCCTCCAGCGAGTCCTGGGCCTGCCCCGGGGCCTCCACCCTGTAGGACATACACGGAAAACCTCTCCAGGTAGCCACCCAGGAGGCATCCGCACCAGGTGTCCAAACCACCTCAACTAGCTGCTTTCGACGTGAAGAAGCAGCGGTTCTATTCTGAGGCCTTCCTGGATATCCGAACTTCTCACCCTATCCCTAAGGGAGAGCCCAGACACCCTGCGGAGAAACCTCATTTCGACCGCCTGTATTCGCGATGTCATTCTTTCAGTCATTACCCATAGCTCATGACCATAGGTGAGGGTAGGGATGAAGATGAACCAATAGATCGAGAGCTTTGCTTTTCGGCTCAGTTCTTTCTTAGCCACGACGAACCGGTCAAGCGCCTGCAGAACTGCAGACGCCGCTCCGATTCGTCTATCCAGCTCCCGATCTCGCCTACCCTCACTCGTGAACAAGACCCCGAGATACTTGAACTCCTCCACTTGAGGCAGTACATCTTCCCTGACCTGAAGAGGGCAATCCACCTGTTTCCGGCTGAGAACCATGGTCTCGGACTTGGAGGTGCTAATCCTCATCCCCGCCGCTTCGCACTCGGCTGCGAACCGGCCCAGAGCACGCTGGAGATCCCCAGCAGATGAAGCCAACAGGACGACATTGTCTGCAAAAAGCAGCGAGGCAATCCTGAGGCCACCAAACTGGACACCCTCAACACCCTGGCTGCGCCTAGAAATTCTGTCCATAAATATTATAAACAGGACCGATGACAAAGGGCAGCCCTGGTGGAGCCCAAGCCACACTAGGAACACGTCTGACTTATTACCGGCAATGCGGACCAAGCCACTGGTCCGTTCATACAGGGACTGAATCACCCACAACAGTGGACCCCGGACCCCATTCTCCCAAAGCACCTCCCACAGAGCACCTCGGGGAACCCGGTCATAAGCCTTTTCCAAATCCAC